AGCTTTCTTGTTTTTAAAAAATGAGGCTAATATAAATCTCAGTCCTTCTGTCTCAGGTATGCTTTGTGAATCACAGGAGACATGTGAATTCACATTTATGTGACTAGACCTAAAATCACTTTGAAATAACAAATTCTGTCCTAAAGTAATATAGTACATTATTCTATTGAGATAGTCATGGACCAGGCTTGTGTGGAATCAATACTAGTTGATGCTAATGATATTGATGATGTGCATAGATGTCAGAGTGTATGTGATGCTGGTACTAGCAAAGCAAGGAATACAGCTTTAAAACTGGAATGTGAGGGCAAAGGAAAAAACAGAATACAAACCTGAACACCTTGAAATGACTCCCCATGGACCCAAGGAATACGAGAGTTAAGGAGATTTCATTACAAGGAAGTAGAGGGGCTTGTAAAACAATAGCCAATATGTGGTAGATTAAACATCTGCTGCAGACATAAATCGAATCCCACTGGGAAACAGCTGTATCCTCTGTAGAAATAACGCTGTTCATAGGAACATTATATACGGTACAACCATGGTAAGGAGAAGACACATTAATCCATTATCTTAAAGGTTTCAATCTCATTTTTTTATTTGTATTTCAGTTTTTAATCCAGCTATAGTCATTACAAAGTATTTAATGACTGACTTGCTAATTGTGTATGCCAGGATGAAGCTGAGAGAAGTTAACACACAAACTGGTCATTAACTATGTTAATGATCAAGTTCTTTGGGATTAAGACTATTATAAGCCATAATTAACAGTTTTTAACAATTTTTTTTTTCTTTTTAGTGAAAAAAATAAGAAAGAAATATTCTTGAGGCTCAGACAGAAATAATGAATGCTGGCCTCACTGTTATTTCTTCTATCATAAAGAACAGCTTCTGGGACAAGTTCTTGTTTTCTTAATCATTATTTGAGCTCTTCAAAGTAAATGCTGGTTCTGGTCAACTGAGCAAATAGGCTCTGTCCTGTCCTCACTAGAACATCATGAAGGGCTTATGCCTGGACCATACAACCTCTCGGCTTCTAGAAATGTTTCCATCAATTCTCACGTGGTAAAAATAAAAGAATTTAAAATGGTGCTGCAAACTGCAAGCTTGGGGCGCAATTTGCCCCGTGGAAAAACTCCTGGGCCTGATGAAGGCTTGCAAAACTTTAGCTGTGTTTGTGAAATTTATCTTTTCCACACTGTACCCTTTCTTCCCCACATGAAGTATCTTATGGCCTCTCATTCTCTCTCTCATCAAAAACATTCTTTCCAGAATGAAACTAATGAACATCAGAAGATAAAAATGACTGATCAATAAAGTTTTAAACCACAGGTGAAGTCAACTAGTAGAAGGACTGGTTTTATCTCCTTGGCCTTGGAGGACAGAGCTCTAAGAAATAAGGGCAGAGTTGGTGGAAGGGCACAATTTCCTTCTGGAGCTCCATCCTCATAGGTTAGGACCCCAACACAAACTTATTAGTCCATTATAGTTCTACTGCCCAGTAATTTCTTTAAGCTTTTCTTAAAACACCTTGGCCTGCTATAAAATGAGGGGAATTAAAATATTTATTTTTATTTTAAATTGTTTTTCTTTAATTTTCTTTTATGATTAGAGATGGAGTCTCGCTGTGTTGCCCAGGCTGGACTTAACCTCCTGGGCTCAAGCAATCCTTCCATCTTGGCCTCCTAAAGACTGGTATTACAAACATGAGTCACTGTGCCTGGAAAAAGTATTTTTTTTTAGACGGAGTCTCACTCTGTCGCCCAGGCTGGAGCGCAGTGGCCGGATCTCAGCTCACTGCAAGCTGCACCTCCTGGGTTCATGCCATTCTCCTGCCTCAGCCTCCCAAGTAGCTGGGACTACAGGCGCCCGCCACCTCGCCTGGCTAGTTTTTTGTATTTTTTTAGTAGAGACGGGGTTTCACTGTGTTAGCCAGGATGGTCTCGATCTCCTGACCTCGTGATCCACCCGTCTCGGCCTCCCAAAGTGCTGGGATTACAGGCTTGAGCCACCGCGCCCGGCCTGGAAAAAGTATTTTTAAAATGTCATTGAACTTTAAAAATCTTTATTGGGGCTGGGCACAATGGCTCACACCTATAATCCCAGCACGCTGGGAGGCCGAGGTGGTCGGATCAGTTGAGGCCAGGAGTTCGAGACCAGCCTGGTCAAAATGGTAAAACCCTATCTCTACTAAAAATACAAAAATTAGCCAGGTGTGGTGGCGTGTCCTGTAATCCCAGCTACTGGGGAGGCTGAGGCAGGAGAATTGCTTCAACCCAGGAGGTGGAGGTTGCAGTGAGCCGAGATCGCACCATTGCACTCCAGTCTGGGTGAAGAAGTGAGACTCCATGCCCCCCACCAAAAACAAAAGTCTTTATTGGAAAACAAATATTAACATTAGTATTAACAACTGTTTTGTGTTTTTAAGTTACTCTAGAGAAAAATATTTCAGATAAAAAATAAATATTTCCAAGATAAAAATTAGATTAGAAACTTCCTATGAGAACAAAAATTTAAAAATAGAGACTACTATGATCAGTGATATATTTTATTCGATGTTCAGCGAACATACACTGCTGTGTTCCCGGTGTAGCTTGATGGTGATGGTTACAACAGGAACTGGACGCTGGCACCTCTTTCATGGTACAGTACGAGAGACTACTGTTGACAAGCTATGATGAACGTGGAAGCTTTGGGTCCTGTGGGAGTCTCTGTGGGTAGGGGCGGGTGGAGTCTAGCCTAGTCCAGGGTGCAGGGAAAACTTTCTGGGGAAATGAAGTTTTGTCAAGAGGCAGACCGACTGCCTCTTTTAATGAGAACTCCTGAAATCCTGGAAGAAGGCAGGGCTTCTGCTAAGCGCCATGTCAAGAGCACTGTCACAAAAGAAACAGAGGGTCATTGGATGATCAGGTGCTAGAAACAAGCCTAAAAGTGACTGCCTATAATGGAGGAGTGGTGAGAATACCTAAAAAGGAAGCAACGATGTATCTGAGTCACAAAACTTCTGTATTTATATGGTCTGAAAACTGGGGCACAATGTAAATGACGAGTTAATGGGTGCAGCACACCAACATGGCACATGTATACATATGTAACAAACCTGCACGTTGTGCACATGTACCCTAGAACTTAAGTATAATAATAATAATAAATTTTTTAAAAAAATATTTGAAATCAGAATAAAATGTTTTCATAAAAAATGCTTTCTACTGGAAGAGTGGAGGTTTTTGCTGCTAGCCTTCTCTTAATGACATCAGAGAAGTTGGGTCTGATTAACATTGTGTTGCATCATTCATGGAGATGAGCTCATGGTAGGTAATGGAGGCCCTGCTGAACTTCACACATTGTAAGAAAGATAATGGTTCATAGAAAATGGCCAAACCCTTTTTATATGAGTCACGTTTTCAGAAGTTATCCTTTCCTGGAATTCACTTCTTTCAATTAATTTTTTAAAAGTAATAACTCACAAAAGTTTTTACTAATACATTTATGAAGGATGTCCTACATGCTTCATAAAGCCTTCCAGAAATTTCCTTTTCCTAATGTTTTTCTCTCATGCACTTCAATAGATATGGCATCTTTTGACAACTAATTATCTGACTTTTGAATATAGCTATTATTTACTGGGTAGTGAAACAGCGAAAAGTTAAATTATGGCACCCAATTAAGCAAATCTTTTGCTTTGGTCAGCTAAAGGGAAAGGAAAATTTATTTATTTTTTCTCTACTATAACTTCTTTTTATCAGTAATTTGACAAATGGTGTCACTAAGATGTTAAGTTTTTTATATTGAAATGATAAGACTGAATTTTAGAAATTGTTAACTTTTAAGAAGTGTACATAATTGGATTCTTTTTATTTCTCTAGTTTTATTCTTATATATTCTGTATGTCATGGCTTTGCTTTTTATTGCCTTCATTCTGAGTTAAATATACAGTCAGCTTTGTGTGGAATTAATATCTAAGATGTTGGGATAATGTAAGCTGCTCCTAACAATGGATCACAATTCATTTTAAATTAGTGAGTTCATTTAAATGAAATAATTGGGTCATTATTTACATATACACAGTTGTTTCCAAATTTTATTGGGAATAAAATAATAAAAGAGTTGGCACTGACAATTTTGACATCTCTATAACTCAGGACAAGAGATGACCCATTTTCTCTCTCCTCGTATTATAGTCCCATAATTTCCCCAATTACTACTGCATTGAAACGTCGAGTTGGTGTTGAGTTGTTGGCAAATAAATGAGAGTGCTTGAATTGTAGCATTGTTCAGCTCAGAGATAACTGCATTTTATCATGTGGAAAGGATCTGTGTTGCTAAAGTGAGGGTAACACAGAACTATCAACCAAACCCACAATAGAAGAGAAATCCACACTCTTTTAAGAAGACTCATCCTCTCCTCTGACTTGACATTCATCAGCCTCCTTGATCACTCCAACCTTTGCTCCTTGACTCTGTATTCATAAGACATTTACTGTGTTAGTTTTTATTTAGCTGATGTGAGTTGGTCTTTGCTTTTCCCCAAATAAAGTCTTTAAGAATAAGTACCATTTAAAAGTATTTTCTTTTATCTCTCCCAGTCGGACTCAGCTAAATGTAGGCAAATGTAATGGCCAAATAATCTAATAACCAGCATGTTATGGGAATACAGGAACTGACTCTGTGTACTTGAAGCCTGCAATGGAACAGGCTCTGGAGGCCCCTACGGTGCCTGGTACTCACCCTTTAGTTGCTGGATTGTGAGAATATCCAGTAAGTGCCTGAGAAGGGGCTGCAATAGCCAAAGACAGTGGCTGTTTCCTAATCAGTTTGGAAATATTTCAATATTTTGGGTAGGCTAACAACTCTAGCTATGGGAAAGCATTATGGTTGCTAGAACTCAGATGTTTCAGCCTTCAGCAGACTGTGACTAAAACTAAGTTTCCTTTTGACATCCAAATCATCATGTTGCAAGCCTGTGAAAGCTCACACATTTTTTTTGTTTTTCTTCTCAGATATCTCTGGACATGTCTAGGATGGCTGATAAGTTGGGTTCCAAAGATCCCTCCAGGTAGTGGTTCCTACTGCTGCTAAGTACCAGCTGCAGGCCATTGTACCATTCTTCTGAAGTGCTACAGGTAAAGCATCTTTTCTCAGGAACCTGTTACTCCCTCTGCACCTCTTTATTTAATGTGTGGGTCAAGCCTTGCCCATAATTTCACAGAGTGATGGCTAAGGACAGCTTCTAGTGCTTAGACTTTATAAAAAGTTGAAGAAAAAATGGAGAAATCCAAACCTGGAAAGTGATATGACTCTTCTAAAAGTCCATTGGTTGTTGTCCCTCCTTAAGGAAATTTCCAATGGGTCCCTTAGCTCTGGCCTATTGCAGGAACCAACTGCACCTACTAGGTAGCTTTTGATCAAGGCTCTTCTCAAAGCCTAAGACTCAGTTTTCTGAAATCCAGAGGGAGAAAAGTCTTTTAAAAAATTCCTATCCAAAGCTGACTCTTCTATCTGCTTTACTTATCTCTTCCCACAACTCTAAGGCCATTCCCAGCTTCTAAAATTTTCTAAGTTAGGGTCACTGTATTAGTCCATTTTCATGCTGCTGATAAAGACATACCTGAAACTGGGCAATTTACAAAAGACAGAGGTTTAATGGATTTACAGTTCCACGTGGCTGGGGAAGCCTCACAATCATAGCAGAGGGCAAGGAGGAGCAAGACACATCTTGCATGGATGGCAGCAGGCAAAGAGAGCTTGTGCAGGGAAACTCACATTTTTAAAACCATCAGATCTCATGAGACTTATTCACCATCATGAGAATAACATGGGAAAGACCCACCCCCATGATTCAATTACCTCCCACCAAGTTCCTCCCATGACACATGAGAATTGTGGGAATTACAATTTAAGATGAGATTTGGGTGGGGACACAGCCAAACCATATCAGTCACTTAGTCCTGGATCACTTTAAAAATGGAAGGCTAGAACTCTACTCCAGATTTCCTTAAACCCAACTCTGTTCTACCCTCATATTGTCTTCATTTCAGCCTAGAGAAAAGGAGTGAATGTTCTGCATATTCTTACTAAGTTCTCTCACAACTTCCTGATTGCAGCTATTGAGCAATAGCACATGTGCATGCATCTCAAAAATTAACTTTCAGTTAAGGAGGGGTTTAAACTGATTTAGGGGAAAATGTAATAAGCAGATTTGCATAATTTTGCAAAAGCTAATGCCTATTTTATAGCACCCGAATAAAGAGAGCATGGTATCTGAGTTTGAAGTGCCTATGTTCAGATTCCTTCATAACTTTCAATTCTCCCCCCAAATAATGGGAGTAGTGATTGTAGATAGGAATAAATAGGACCATCCATCAGAGTGACCACTTCCAGAAAAAATGCTGTTTCTATTAGCAAAAATGACTTCCTCAGCTTCCAAATCACTCCTCCAACAAAAACAGAAGTTCCATTCTTTACCAGGTATTTTGATGAATTTGATTTATTGTTAAAGTTAAAATTGTAAAGAGAATTATTAATAGAATTATTGTCTCTCTGAGTACATGTGACTGTGGAATAGTGGGGTCTGTAAGTTACTGATGGCCTCTAAGAGTGAAAATATCAGAGCCATGGGGCTTTATAATGAAAACAGAGAATGGTGGGGTGGAGAGTTATGAATAGGTAAACTTGGATGGAAAGTTGTGAATAGGTAATGTGCGTGTAGAGAGTGTGACAAGCCTGTGCTGTTTTACTGCCTGAGATATATTTTAGCACATACATTAGGATGAAATTTTCAGATATTAACAGGGATTCCTGTTATTGAACTTCTTTAAGTCTTTCTCATCTCTTGGGGAACAGTGGGAGCTTTCTGTAGGCACTGCCCTCAGGGGAAAGGCAGATTTGGTGAGTATGAGGAATCTTTGGTCAGCTTTGAGGTTGTAAAGCCCACAGCAGAAACAACAGTTTAGAAATCTATGCTTTCCATGTGCAAGAAGCAGGATTTTTGAAATTTTTATAATGGTTTCTATACATAGGTTTCAAAGAGTCAGATCTTGTAGGACTAAGTACAGTTTTACTTATTCGGTTTACTAAAAGCTAAAGCAAAGGGCAAAGGCAACTTGATAAACTACGCATTGGCACTCAGTCTGCCCAGCAGTGACCTACAGACACTTCCACTCATATTCCAGTGGCCAAAGTGAGTCATGTGGTCCTGCCAGGTTCAACCACGGAATGGTGTCTAATCCTCTTACAGGTAGGGCACCACAGAAGAGGATGCCAAATATGGGTAACTAGACACACAGTCTGCCACACAGACAAAGGTACATTTCAGCAACGCCCTGTGGAGAACAGAGTGGGCACACCTCTGTGGACTGCTCAATCCCTGCATGCTTGACAACCCTGGAGTTCAGACCAGTACTGTGTTTCTGATTAGACCTGGGAGGGCTGAGGAAACCACAGCTTATGTAACTCCTCCTACAGAGAAATTTTCCTCTAGAAATATTTCCACTGAGCTTCGTTTTTTTCCCACTTCTGTCAAGAAGAAAACCTGACAATAACGGCCAGGGGGACAGGGGAGAAGCACAAAGTCAAAATGACAGGCATGGAATGAAAGAATCAGGCCAGTAGTGATGTATGAAATGTCCTACTTTTGATTTTTCATGTAGGAAACACTTAAAATTGATTTGCATTATCTCCGTCAATATTCTTAGCTCCTATTGTCTATTTCTTGTGACAGGATGGATATCCCGTCTCCCTCCAGTCTTCTGTCTCCCTATTTTCCGTCCCCCACTTTCCCATGTAGTTAACACTAGCCATCCTTTACATGTAGTATAAAACATAGCCTATTTACATATTAATCCAGCAACCACAGAGGACATCAGAAAACCTAAGGATGGCTGCATTTAGGGCTCAGTGTAACAAGGCCCTTTGAGTCTTAGACTGTGATAAAATGTGAAGTGACATTTCGCAGAAGGAAAAAGCTTCTATTTTTACCTTAGTGTTTAGAAATGGCCCCTGGGAGGAATTGTTGCTCCATCTCAGGGCTTCCCAGATGTGTCAGATTAGAGACCCACCCACTGGAAACACTTCAGGAAGTCAGTCAGCCACTCCCTGGGGCTTTCCTAATGACTGGCCATCTTGTCTGAGTTGGTTAACTCAGTTGGATGCAGTGTGTGGTGTTAATTCAGTGGGGCTAATTAGACCAAGGTCATGGGTTTGATTTTCTAGTTTTTTTGTTTGTTTGTTTTGTCTTTGTTTTCTCAGAGAAAATCATTTCTAATCTCTTACTGGCTAACTTAAAAATATGTGTTATTGTCCTAAGGAAAGCAAATTAACATATAGCTGTACAAACTACAACTCACCCCTCCCTTCTAGAATACAAAGAGTATTTCAGTATGTGTGGTGTGCTGTGAATAAGCATTAACTTCAGTTTAGTAGGATAGGCAAAGGTAAAGAGTTTGCAACATGCTTTGGCTCATTTCAGCTGCTGCTGTGCAGTGCTAACAGTGGCTATGTTACTAAGCCGTGCACTGCAGTTCAGTAATGATGATCATTGAATGTAACTGGTAATGGTCAATGAGATTTCTCATTGGATGATGCCGTCAAACCACAAACTCCTCTAGATGGCATTGGTTGGGCCATCTGCTTCAGTGTACCTGGAAACTGTGGTGTGTGGCTTCCCTTATTTCATTAGCAGCAGGTTGTTTCCTATGTGTCTGGCCTTTCTAGCTCTTCCAGGGCATGACCTTGACTCTGCACCAACTTCTAGAGTCTACCTCACTGAAACGCTCCTCTGAAAACCTTAGGCCTTGAGAAGTGGCACAATCTATACATTAATATTACCCCCCCACTTTAGTGACTGTAGCATCACATTTCGCCACGTTGTTTTGAAATTTTCATCTGTGCCATGAATAATTTGATTGTTAACCTAGAATAGGCACAACTCAAAATAATTAGCCAAATTTCCCCCAACACTTAGTATGAAACCCTTATGACAGGAGATATTTATTGAGTACTAATCTACATTGTCAAGAAGGGCTTTGCCATTTCAAGTTTCTTCTCTCTCATGTTGCATTCCCCTCTGAGAATCATCATCATTGTATTTATGATCTGGACTTGTTGTTAGAGAGACTAACTCCAACAACAAGTCGCCAAGACTTATATCTCATGTAGTGAGTTCATTTCTCCAGAAGCCAAGATTACTTCTGAGAGGTCTTACCAATCTGTTGGCCTTAGAAACCAGGAAAAACCCCTCTGTTTTGTAATCATAAAACATTTGGACACAACCAAGTCACTTAATGATATTTTCGATTAGCCTTTAAGAGAATCAGCCCAGGGAGCACTAATGCCTTGTCCTATGCAAGGGTGAGCGAAGCTAGTGAGTGGAAGGTTGAAGACAGTAACCTAGGAATCAGGAAGTCTAGGATTTGCTGAATCTGGCACAAATCTCTTTGTGCCTCATTTGGCAAAGTGACTGATGCATGTAGTAGTTAAAAAATTAGATCTTTTCCTTAAAAAGATTCAGAGAATAGTCCATCCTTCTTATCCACAGATTCAGCATCTGTGGATTCAACCAACTGTAGATTAAAAATATTATGAAAAAAGTAATATAAATTACAATACAGTAATTAAAAATAATACAAATAAAAATGCAGATAGCATTTACATTGTATTAGTTATAAGCAGAGATGATTTAAAGTATATAGGAGGATATATATATATATATATGTATTCTTAACAGTCCTGAAACCAATCTTCTGTGGATACTGAGTGAGACTGCACTGAGTAACCGTAATATTTAATATGCTTTTATTTTGCCTTGTTAGTAGACCCACCACAAAAGCCTATCTGATATTGTTGATGCTTGGCCCTCAGCAAACACTCTTCTGCAAGGGCAGTGAATTACCATGCTCCATTGCTGTGTTACTCTGTTTTCACACTGCTGATAAAGATATACCCAAGACTGGGCAATTTACAAAAGAAAGAGGTTTAATGGACTTACAGCTCCATGTGGCTAGGGAGGCCTCACAACCATAGTGGAAGGTGAAAGGCACATCTCACATGGCAGCAGACAAAAGAAGAGAGTTAGTAGAGGGAAACTCCCCCTTAAAATAACCATCAGATCTCATGAGATTTATTC